TTTTTCTTTTTGCTTATGTGGTGCTGAGGAATTGAACCCAGGGCCTCAGGCATGCAAGGCAAGCGCTCTACCACTGAGCCACCTTCCCAGCCTCTCAGATACAGATTCTTACGATCAAATGTCTTCATAATCACTCCTTCCATGTATTTTATGAAATTAGCCAAACCCATAACCATTTGTGTAATTGGTTCAATATACAGCCCTGACTTTATAGTCATGCCTAGGGACATCTATATTGTTGTAGTTTCCAAACAGTTTCCAGTGTTCTTTATTATTTAGAGAAAATAAATGAGCAGCTGGTTGCTTGGTACTCGAGAGGAGATATAACACTCCTGCCCTACAGAGATGGCCCAACCCCAGCCTGGCTTGGTTTTAGCCCACTGACTGAGCTCACCCACCATTTTGCTGATACTGTTTTTATTCCTTGACACCAAAAGTAAACCCTACATAGTTTAGAAAAAGAAAATTAACTTGTTAACTCTATCTAAAAAGTCCCCAATGAATGAATAAGATGAGAAACCACTTTTCAGAACAAAACCAGAAATGAACACAGAAACTGAGCTTCTACATCAGAACTAAGCAGTGCCTGCAGAAACCGTCACCAAAGATGTGCGCTTTGGCAGAGTTGAGGAGACTTTATGAAATGGCTCTGACACCTGACATGGGTTTTTTTGGTAGGGTTTTGTTTTTGTTTTTGTTCTTGCCCATTTTGATAAATAATCGAAATAATTGCTAAAGGAGATGAATCTTTCATTGCTCTCGTGCCCTAGAACAGTTGTGATCCCTTGTTCATTTCTGGGCTATAGCAGCTACTAGATAAGTGCTAAATAACTTCTAAACTGGGGGGAAAGGGTTGAAGTGTTCCTTTCTAGACTGTGAGTTCCAAATCGCCAGAGAACTACAAGCCCTCTGATGGTTTCTAGGTTCCTGCAAATAGGACAATTCCAGAGGAGTTTCTCCTGGTCATAGCTTAGTCTTGTTTCTCCAGCCAAGAAATGCTGAGGAGACTTAGGGAAAAGGCCAGGAGCCTCTCAAGCTTTTGGGGAAAAGGTCTCAGTCCTTGTTTAATATATACTATGAATTTAATTATGATGGTGAAGCATAGCTAATATTTAAATGGTATATTTAACAACTGAAGACCAGATTTTCTTTTACTTAATAAGCTATGCATTTATATTTTATCTTTTCTTTTTGTTTTTGTTTTTTGGTGGCAATGCCGACCGAACCTGAAACCGCATGTGTGCTTGCTACCACTCACTGTGCTACACAGCCTCAAATTTGTTTAAATGAAATGATGTAGTAATATAGACACGTCCACCAGGATAGCATTAAGCAGTGCTACCCAAATGTTATCCATCTTGTAAATTAATGTTCACTTTCAGTAATTTTGCTTACTAGTATTATACCTAATATGTAGGATCACAATTAAAATCATCAACCCAGCAATCTAAGAGTTTCCACCTTCTCCCTTTGGAAAAAAAGAAAAAAAAAAGAAAAGCTCTGGCTGGGCCCTGAGGTAGTTCATGCTAGCTACTCAGGAGACCAAGATCTGAGGGTTGTGGTTCCAAACTTGCCTGGCCAGGAAAGTTCGTGAGACTCTTACCTATCTAATTAACCACCAAAAACTAGAAGTAGAGGTGGGTATCAAGTGTTAGAGCACTAGTCTTGAGCAAAAAAGCTCAGGAACAATGCCCAGGCCCTGAGATCAAGCCCAGGAATGGCACCAAAACAAACAAATTGATGAAATTAAAGGGAAAATAGACAATTTAATAAGAATTATTAGAAACTTCAACTGAAATTAAATTATGATGCTTGTACAATTTTTTTTGTGACTCATGGAGCTTGAACTCTGAGCCTTGGTGCTGTCCCTGAGCTCTTCAGCCCAAGGTGAGCACTCTACCACTTGAGCCACAGCACCACTTCCAGTTTTCCCACTGGAAATTAATTGGAGATAGGAGTCTCATGGATTTTCCTTCCAAGGCTGGCTTTGAACCACTATCCTCATATCTCAGCCTCCTGAGTAACTAAGATTACAGGTGTGAGCCACCGGCACCCAGCTATATACAATTGTTTATTGTACTGAAAAACTACAGAGATAGATGATTTTTTAATTATTAATAAGAGCAACAAAAATAAAACTTAACAAAAGATAAAAGTTGTGTAAACCCTGGGCATTTTCCAATTTTATAATATTTTTAGAGACTTTATTTCCATTAAAGTCTTACTTTAAAAAACCTTATAAAGGTCTTTCATCTTCTTCAGTAGAACTACTCTTAAGACTTGTTTTCTCAATGGGCATTATGCCAGGAACACCACCCCCCTTCCCCTTTTCCCCTTCCCCCCTCAAAATGAAATAATAGAGGACCCAGCAAACAAACACAAAAAAGACTTGTTTTCTTTCTATTACTGTAATATCATTCTGTAAATTATGTTTGAAGCCTTTAGGTTGATGAGCATGTTAATTATTTAAAGTTGACTTCTATAGCTAGGAGACTGAAATTTTCACAGTTGGCACTTTACCACTTGAGCCACACCTTTAGTTCCAGGAAACAAGGATTTTTATAGACTAAGACATACATTGGTAAAAAGTGAGTCATTTGACCTAAATCATATTGATATTGTATTACACCCATGCCAGATAACCAAAACGGTCATGGTAGCATCAGGATACATTGTTAATTTTGACATAAATTTTAATATATTAGTGTACATTACTTATACAAAGGAGTTTCATTGTGATATATCCTTACATGAATATGATGTGGTCAGATTCATCTCCTCTGTTACTGTTTCTTATCTCCCTTTTCCAAACAATTTTTAAGGGGTGGGTATTCTTTCTATTATCACACATGCATATGAAGGACTTTGATCATATTCACCCCCTCTTTCTGCCCTCTTCCTAATAGTTTCTACTTATAAAATTGTCATAACTTTGACACTGGTAAACCAAAGTAAACCAAAGGAGAGGGTAAATTGCTCAAAAGAATGCTAGTAATGCTGTTCCCAGATTTTCCGACCTGCTACTAATTCAAATTTTACAGTGTATTTCCTTTACTAATTCTTCTGTCTGCTAGTACTGGATAACAAAAGGAAAAGGGAAATCTTTTTTTAATGTTTTATTGTTATTATAAAGGTTATGTACAAAGGAGTTGCAGTTAAATAAGTCACGTAAAGAATGCATTTCTTTTAGGGAAACATTTTATTTAAAACTACCAGCTTCTAAAGTTAAGGTTCACCTTTTTTGTTGCTTTTTAAACCTGAGCTTGAACTTGGGGCTTCTTGTGCTCTGGCTGTTGAGGTGGACATTCTCCCATTTAAGACACACCCAGCCGTTGCTGATTTGTTAGAGATGGAGTCTCATGGCCTTTCTGCCCAGCCTCTCTTTGAATCTCCTCAATGTCTCAGCCTCCCTAAGTGAGTAGGATCACAGGTATTAGCCACTGGCATCTGGGTAAGATTCATTTCTTAACTGTAGCTGCCAGCTATTGTTTAGGAATATATCTAGTCTCATCGTAGGAAAAGCACTGACATCTAAATGGTTGCATGAAGCATAATTTTCCTGAGATTATTTTCCACTCCACTAAACAAAAATTTTGCATTTAGAAGTGATCTTTTGAATTGTAAATTGCTTTGAGTCCAGTGAACTTAAAAACAAATTGTGTTGGAAATGGTGCTGTGTGGCTCAAAGTGGTAGAGCACCAGCCTTGAGCACAAAAGCTCAGGGACAGTGCCTGAGTTCAAGCCCTAAGGACAGGCCAAAAAAAAAAAAAAAGTCACTCCTGGTTTTTCAAGGCAGCCTAAAAAAAACAGAAAATGAAAACTATGTAAGTATTTTGGAGCATAAATTTGAGAAAAGGAGAAAAAATAATAAGGAAATACCAAGTTCTAAAACTCTTAGGGAGTGTATATTATGTTGCACAAGTAGTTCCAAAGAGGAATTTGGTTATCTTCCGTAATGTAGATATTAATTATTGAAACAGATATGATTTTAAATTTAAAGGCAAATACTGCATTTACTGGGAATTTTTTTGGCATTCAGTTCAAATGGTGGTGAGTTTCTGACTGTAAGCATTTGAAATTTGAGCAGTAATCTGCTTCTTTGTTTTCCTGCTGGGTTCAATGAGGACAGGCAACACTGAGAAACAATTTAGTTATTTGTAACATGGGTGTTAGAAGTTCTGCTAGAGTGCTTTGTTACTGACCCATGTCTTACGTACTGTTTTCATTTCTATCCTTCAGATAGTTGGAGTTAAGCCGCATTTTTTAAAACCATCTTCACATAAGATGTCATCTTCAGATGGAGGTCCAATTGGATATACACCCCCAGATGGCGGCTGGGGTTGGGCAGTGGTAGTTGGTGCTTTCATTTCTATTGGCTTCTCTTATGCATTTGGAAAATCTGTTTCTATCTTTTACAAAGAAATTGAAGGTATATTCAATGCCAGCACCAGTGACGTATCCTGGATTTCCTCCATCATGTTTGCTGTCATGTATGCTGGAGGTAAGTGCTCCTTACTTGTTTGAATGTTCAGAAGGAAGACCAAAGTTCTATGTCAGGTAGTCTCTGTTCCCGATGATTTTATTAGTAAAATATTCACAATGTGAGTTCATACAGAGTATTAACACTATATACCAAGAACCATTTTAAAATTTTTCTTATCAGCAAAACTACATGGCATCTGTGTGCTCTCTGAGGGCAATTATAACATTATAAAACAAGTATTTGGAAGAATAATTTTTACCAGATATATTGGTTCATGTCTGTAATCCCAGCACTCAGTAAGCTGAGGTATTAGGACCACAAGTTCAAGGTCAGCTGGAGTACAGAGAGAAACCTGTCTCTTAAGCAAACAAACCCATAAAGATAACTTTCTTTAAAATGTTTTTTTAGCCTGAGGATATGGCTCAGAATGTTTGCTTAGCATGCATGAGGTCCTTGTTTTCTGCTTTTGCTGGTATATAGAAATGTGATTGATTTATTTCCCTAAATTTTAATTGTATATCTGGTAATGTTACTCTAGGCTCTTCTTTGTTCATTGGTAGCTTCTATCAAAAATTTTAGATATACACAGTAACTTCTGCAAATACTGATAGTTTGGTTTCTTCCTTTCCTTATACCTTTTTCCCCTCTGTATTACTGCGATGGCTCGGACTTCAAGTATAATATTGAAGAAAAGAGGTGATGGTAGGCATTCTTGTTTTGTAATTTTATGTTGGTTTGTTATTGTTGTCTTCTATAAGAAACAAAACATATTTTAGCTAGTTTTTAAATATGTTCTAAAGGTAGAAATTTAATTAGATTTTTTGGAACAAAATAACAGCAAACTTGCTACATACTTTGGTAATAATCTAGATGTATGAAGAAGCCTATGGATATTTATAATCATGGAATTGCAACCTGTTCTAAGTTAGTTTGAGGTTTTTCATATATATATATATATATATATATATATCATATATATGCTTATATATACTTTTATTCATCTAATATAGATGTATAGAAGATAAATCTGTTTTCTTCTACTATACAAACTGGTAACTCCAAAATAATGATAGAAAGCAGTATTCCTTACAGTGATTTGTTTTGTTTTCTGATTGTTATGGGGGATTTGATCCTGATACCTTTCTCGTTAGTAATGCTTGTGTGAATATGTCTTCTGTGTACCACCAAGTTGTTCATTCTCTCCTAGGTCCTATCAGTAGTATCCTGGTGAATAAGTATGGCAGCCGCCCAGTCATGATTGCTGGTGGTTGCTTGTCTAGCTGTGGCCTCATTGTGGCTTCTTTCTGTAACACTGTACAGAAACTTTACTTGTGTATTGGAGTCATTGGAGGTAAGCTGCTACTGATTCATTTTCACACACTCATTACTTTGTGGACTAGTGCAGCATTTATCTGTCTATTCTTTTGAGATGCATTAGAAAATATACTGAGTGTTTTTTAAGAGTTTAGATGGATTAAGAATAATGTAAAAGTAAGCTTTTAAATGCAATACCTTTATTTGTTAAATAAACAAGTTAAAATTTTTTGTCTTTCCCTTCTTGTCTTTTCCTACTCTCTCCTCCCCTCCCTGTCTTTCTTCCTTTCCCTTAAGAAAGGTAATAGTGATAGGTATAGAGTATGGTCCAGTGACTTGTTCCCACTCAGCATAAAATTTTCCCTGAAAATTGGCTCCATTTGGACTTGGAGAGATGGTGCCGAATTTTGTGGTAAAGAAGCCAGATGTATTTTCAGAGTGAAGGGCACACCTGAGAACTTCCTTCCCCTGCCTTCTTGTTTTAAGTACTGGGGGAGTAAACTCAAGGCCTTCTAGATCATTCTAGGCAAGCATTCTACCACTTGAGCCACATCCCCATCAATTGCTCTCCTTTTGAATAACTAAATTTAAAAAATAAGCCCAGGCACCGGGCATCCCTCCCAGTGTCAAGGTCACAAATGTCAAGACAAAGCTGAAGCTGGAAGCAAGTGGCTCTTGTTATGCTAGTAATTCTAGCTACTCAGGAGACTAAGGATCATGGTTCAAAACTAGCCCAGGCAGAAAAGCTTATGAGGCTCTTCCAGTTAACCAGAAAACAGGAAGTGGAGGTGTGGCTCAAGTGGTAGAGCACCAGTCTTGAGCTAAAAACACTAAGCACAAGCATGAAGCCCTGAGCTCATTCCTCAGTCCCTGTACCAGCAGAAGAAAAAAGAGGAAGAAGAGGAGGAGGCAAGGAGGAGGAGAAGGAGGAGGAACTACAAATAATATAAAAATACACATCATTCATACTTCTATAATTCAAAGTAAACCACCAATAAAAAGAAAGACCATTTGACCATTTCCTGTTTTATGCCATATCTGCTCATACATCTTCCTATGCACACACATAGCACACACACATACACACATAATTATTTTCAAACAAAAAGAAGATGAAGTTATATGTTATGTTGTAATAGCTTTGGGGTTTAGGTTTCACTTAGGGCTTTGTACATGCTAAGCATGTGCTCTACCACTGAGTTACACCCCTAGCCTATTACCAACTTTTTTAACTTTATACATCATGCACATAATTTCCTATCTCAGTAAAGATACATTGAATAAATGCTGTAATTTATTTTACCATTCTCTGATGGATGTACATGTAGAGATTTTTCACATTTTTTACTAATTTTTTTCTCTTAATATATATTTTTATTGTGAAGATATTGTACAAGGGGTTACAGTTACATGAGCAAGGTAATGAGTACATTTCCTATCAAACATTGTTACACTCTCCTTTATTTTTCCCCTATCATCCCTTTCCTCCCCACCTCCCCAACTTTCCCTCCCCTCTCCCATCCACCCTCACCCCGCAAAGTTGTAAAGTTCGTCTTCAAAATAGTGTCTTGTTACAATGGGTCATCCTGTATCCTTATTTCAGCATTTTGTTATTTCCCTTCCCCTTCCCAAATTAGAAAAATGTATATACAAGATGAAGGACACCGGAATCAAATACAGTGACAACAGAAGTTGTACCATGGGGAAAGAACATTCAAAGAAACAAAAAAAATCACATAGTACATTATAAGTACATTAAAAAGAACAGCAACAAAAATTAAACCTCTTGTGTCCCTATCTTGGGGTTCATTTCACTTAGCATCTGGTTATATGGTTATATGTACATAGCTTTTGACCTCTTCTGCTTGTCCTAGACATATACTAGTTATTGTAGATAATGGAAACCATGGGACCTATGTTTCTTTGGGCCTGGCTTACTTCACTTAATATGATTTTTTTCCAAGTCTTTCCATTTCCAACAAATGGGGTGGTGTCATTCTTTCTTATGGAGGCATAGAATTCCATTATATATATATCACATTTTCTTGATCCATTCATCTACTAAGGGGCATCTGGGTTGGTTCCATATCTTAGCTATGGTAATGCTGCAATAAACATAGTTGTGCTGGTAGCTTTAGTATGGCCTTGTTTGTGATCATTTGGGTAAATGCCTAAAAGGAGGATTGCTGGATCATAGGGGAGCTCTATGTATAGTCTTTTGAGGAACCTCCATACTACTTTCCAAAGTGGTTGAACAAGTTTGTATTCCCACCAACAATGCAGTAGGGTTCCCTTTTAGCCACATCCCTTCCAGCATCTGTTGTTATTAGATTTCTTGATTCTAGCCATTCTAATTGGGTGAGGTGGAATCTCAATGTTGTTTTAAGCTGCATTTCTTTTATGACTAAAGAAGTTGAGCATTTCTTCATGTGTCTATTGGCCATTCTTATTTCATTTTCAAAGAAGTCTCTCTTTAAATCTTTAGCCCACTTATTAATGAGGTAGTAGTTTCTTTGAGGATTTGTTGTTGGGGGATTTAATTTTTTTTGAGTTCTAAATATATTTTAGATATGAGACCCTTGTCTGTTGTATGGCTAGTGAAGATCTTCTCCTAATCTGTGGGCTTTCTATTGATCTTGCTAGCTATGTCCTTTGCCATGCAGAAGCTCTGCAATTTCATGCAATCCCATTTGTCCAACCTTTCTTTCATTTATTGTGTTTCTGGGTCTCTATTAAGAAATTTTTGGCTTTTCCAAAGAGCACTAGGACTTCTCCTATTCCTTCCTGTAATGTTTTCAGTGTGTCTGCTGTGACTCTGAGGTCTTTGATCTATTTGGAGTTGATTCTGGTGCAGGGTGATATATAAAGATCTAGCTTTAGTTTTCTACAGGTGTTTAACCAATTTTGCCACCACCACTTACTGAAGAGTCTTTCTTCCATTCTATTATTTTAGCTCCCTTATCGAAGATTAGGTGGCTATAGGTCTGAGGGTTTATTTCTGGGTCTTCAGTTCTATTCCATTGGTCCTCAGGTCTGTTCTTGTGCCAGTACCAACTGTTTTGATTAGTAGAGTTTGAAGTTTGGTATTGATATTCCTCCAGCACTGTTCTTTCTGCTAAGGATAGTTTTTGCTGTTCGGAGTCTTTTATTGTTCCATATGAATTTTTGGAGTGTCTCTTCTATTCCCTTGAAGAATGAGGTTGGGATATTGATGGGTATTGCATTGAGTTTGTAGATAGCCTTGGGAAGTATTGACATTTTCACGATGTTAATCCTCCCAATCCAGGAGCACAGGAGGTTTTCCCACTTCCTTAGTTCTGCTTAATTTCCTTTTTCAGGTTTTTAAAGTTTTCATCATAGAGGTCCTTCACTTCTTTAGTTAACTCCTAGGTATTTTATTTTTTGTGAGGCTATTACAAAAGGAAATGCTTTACTGATTTCAGCCACGCTCTTCTCATTATTA